TGCAAAGAAAATTTGTATTGTATTTTGCTAATACTAAGCTCATTGAAAATAGTTAAAACACGACTATTATCATCTTTCCTAGTATAAATAGTACCATCTCGTACCCATACGTATTTATACTTTGTAATTTTTGCTGCATCCTTCGTTTTTTTTTTCAAAATAGCTTTGGAGTGACGGGTCAGGGGTTCATTAATAAACAGCTGATTTAAGAAAATCCGGGGGTTTGGGTACCTCTTGCGAGTCGTTTGGTTTTGGCTGCAGCTAAAATGGTATCCTTTTTGTTTTTAGATGTTAATTTAACAATGACAGGTTTTGGTTTACCTTGAACAAACGTGTTTGCTCGGAATATTACATCTACATTTCTTGGAAGGATTGGACACTCGATGTGTTACCAATTTTTTCGATAACTTTTAGAAGATTTTCGTTAGGTTTCTCGTCAATACAGAAAATTTCTAGATTGTTCGAACTGATCTGTTGTTCTAGTGATGCAACTCTATCCTCGAGGTTCTGAACGTCTTTCTTTAGTGTTACATTTTCATTTTGTAGCTTTTCAATGATATCTAATCTTCTGTTGATTTTCTTCGTTTCACTTTCGAAAAAAGTGATTTGGTCGCTACAAAAAGTTACACTGTGAATGAGATCAGAATTTCGCTTTTTAATGTTATTTATATTGGATTGTATTTCTTTAACTATTTTCAAAATACGTTGGGTGGTACTGACATCTTCATCTCTGACCTCGCTTTCCTCGTCTGAGAGGGTGGCCGAAACATGGGGTGTGACTGCTGAAATGCGCCTTTTCCCACCTGCAGTTGGAGCAAAACCATACAGCTCCTTTTTTTGTGAAAAAACACCCAAAAAAGGGCGTTTATTGATATTACAATCTGATAAAGAGTTGATCAATGAGTAATTTTGTTATAACCTAACTTAACTAGGGTTGCAATCTTAAAAACTAAAGTTCTACTCGCTAGTATACCTTAGGGTCTGATAACTTAATTATACTAAACTAACGTGTAACACTAAACCGTACAATGCTTTGCTTTGTTATTAACACAATCACTTTGGCTAACTCAAAAGGTTTCACTCTCTTGAGTCTTCTTGTCAAGTTCGTGTTGTCAAGAAGCTGGATTGCCTCAACGTTCACATGTTGGTCGAGCCGTTGTTCGTGACTCCTAGCGAATCTGGTGATAGTATGGTCAACAGTGTTCATTTAAAAGTCTCGATGAAGGTCGCTGTTTCTTATGTACCAAGGAGCACCGACAATGTTCCTCAATACTTTGTTCTGGAATCTCTGGATTATTAGAATATTACTGTAGCTGGCACAACCCCAGGCTGAATGCCATAGGTCCAAATTGGTTTGAGAACTTGTTCATATAATAGAATTTTGTTATGTGTAGATAAGCTGGAATGCCTACCAAGTAACCAGTACATTTTCTTGAATTTTATATCTAACTCTTGTCTTTTCTTTTTACCATGGACCTTCCAGTAAAGTCTTGCATCTAATGTAATACCTAGATATTTTGCCAAGTTAGCATAAGAGACCTGAGCATTATTTATGTATTCTTTGACCATTTTTGTTAGTAAAATTAATATTAACAGATTTAGTTTCGTTTAGTTTAATACGCCATCTTTAGGTCCATCTATTTATTTTATTAACTGATGTTTGTAGTTTATTTGCAGACTCTTCTTGATCTTTGCCTATCGCTAGGATGGCAGTATAATCTGCAAATGTAGCTATTGTGTTTTGTTCCAGTTGGGGTATGTCACAAGTGTATAACAGATAAAAAGTGGGTCCCAGGACGCTTTCCTGTGGTACTCCTGCTTTAATTTCTTTCAAATTAGAATATGCTTCATCTCGTTTTACTCTAAAGAATCTATCTGAAAAGTATGAATCCAATAGCTCTGAGTATGGCTGTGGAAGTAGCACATTCAGTTTATGTTTTAAGCTATCATGCCATACTTTATCAAAAGCCTGCGCAACATCGAGTAAGATGGCTGAATAGACTTCTTTGTTTTCTAATGCTTTTTCAATAGCATTTGAGATTCTATGAACCTGATCTATAGTTGAATGGTTTTCTCTAAAGCCGAACTGGTAATCTGGAATAAGTTTTCTTTCTTCAATGATGGTTTTCAGTCTTTTTATTGGTATTTTTTCAAATAGTTTTGATATTATAGGCAATAGAGATATTGGCCTATATGACGAAACTTCGTTCGGAAGTTTTCCTGGTTTGGGGATCATAATGACTTCAGCTACTTTCCACAATCTAGGGACATACCTTAGTTTGAATGAGGCATTAAACAGGTGTGTAAGTTTAATTATGGCTTTCTTCAGAAGTTGTTTTAAGACTTCTCCTGTAATTAACTTATAGTCAGGAGCTTTCTTAGGATTAATATATGTTTTTATATCTTCTGCAATTTCCTTTGGAGAGGTTGGTCTGATAATTGAGTCATCTCTCACTAGAGGATCCCAGTTCGATAATTATTCTCCTTCATTTGGTTTGAAGGTGTTTTCTAAGTGTTCTGCGGATCTATTAACTCTTTGTATAATATTTCTAGCCCAGCTACCATCTGTATTCCTGATTGGAGCATTCTGCACAGTGGGTCTTTTCATTCGTTTTGTGGCTTTCCATAGAGAATATTCAGTGAATTTGTCGTTTGTCAACTCACTAAGGTACTCACAAATAGATTCATTTTCGTTTTATCTCTCTTTTTAACTGCTGGGTCGCGTTGTTGAGTTTTTTTTTTATCAGATGTCTATCAACTCTGTTTGAGCGGTTTAAGGCAACATGGTTTTCTACCAAAAATTAAATATCCTACTAAGGCGTGATTCGTCACGGTTAAATATGCGTGAACCTTTTTTTTACTTGATATTCTTAATCCTCAAAGAATATTTAAGCTTTCGTATCATAACTTTCACTGGGGTGTGTGGGAGGGGTTAAAATAAAATCCGTTAGTAAAATAAACAAATATAATGATAAAAAAAAGGTTTAGTGAGTTTTGACATTCCAAAATATAATAAAATCAACAAACAGAATAAGAAAAAATTAAGATAAAATTCCTAGTAAAATTTAAAATTCTGTGTGTGACAATGGCATTAAGTTTTAGGTTACTAACATTGTCTAAATAGCAATTTGTTTATCCTTCATAAAAATTGAATTTATGACAGTAAAATTAAGAGTTAAATAATTGATACAAATAGGTAATATAATTTAGTTTAGAGCAGGTCGTAAACCCAGTAAATTTCCGTTTTTATTTTTTTACTTATAAATTACAAAAGGAGAGAGTACTATAATTGCTTAAACAAATTTATCAAGCTACAAGTTGATACCATATAACTTAAAAGATCAAGTTAATTATTGTCTCATTGGACTTACCCCTATAATCTCGAGGGTTGACTGTTAATCACACCTGTATTAGGTAATTGTCCCTCGGATTCGCCTTATCGGTGAACACTACTAAATAACCAGCGCAAAACTACACAACACCGTTCAAGCCGCGAATTTTCTTTAAAACCCCAAAAAAACTAACATAATTAGATGACCCAGTTAGACCTGTTTTTGAGTCGTTCCCCCGCGATGAGCTAACCTCGACTTTTAAGCCTTAAGAGGGAAAGCCCACTCATGCGACACGTCGCGCGCGACTGATCGCGAGGCATCGCGCGCGGCAATACTTTAGATGTTTTTAAATGACTCAAAGCCTATTAACGCGGTTCTTTCGCGTGGTCGCACGCGGCTGAAAATTAGAAATGACAAGCCCGCGATTTTCCTGCCGCACGCGGCCAGTGTTATCATGGATTCATATGGAGCATCATTCATCCAAACGTCAAGTCGCGTGAGAAACGCCAGTTAAGAGTTGGAGTTTCCCGTTAACTTTTCGACAGTTCCAGTGAAAAAATGTCCGACAGCTGTATTAATATAAATGAATTTATATCCAATATTCAAGACCAACCTCAACAGTTAATTGAAATAAAATAGCGAAAAAAATGTTTGTTCGGGAATCTGCGCTAACAGTTCATCAAATGACACTACTCTCGTTCTGAAATATTTGAAGAACTTATCCTCGTGTTGACGTAAATCCTTATGTAACAAATTAAATGCGCCTTTTACATAAGGGTCTATAAATAATGGGTGAACCCAGTACCTACGTCGTTTCAATTTTTTCCGCTGACGTACAGAATAAAACAAAACCGTTACTACTTCTTCCACCTCTATTTTTATACTGAACATCTGTGTCGCTGCTTGTCATCTGTTAAAAATCGCACCTAAAAAATCGCATGCGGCAGGTCGCGCGCGACATGTCGCGAGAGTGGGCTTTCCCTTTTAAAAGAGACGACACCAGGAGCGCGCCAAAGGCACGAAGTGCTCTTTGGTACTCCCTGGCACCAACTGCCTTTTTTTTTAATCTAACCCGCGTTGAACAATGTAGATTAACTGTTGTATCAGCAACACGTGTAGTTTCATAGCCCACATCTGTTATTTTCCATAACTTGCGAAACTAATTACATTGCCCAGTTTCGCAAAAAAACTATCAAAAATTCCATGATGTTTTTTTTTGTCAAGAAATCTTTGTTTTAAATTACAACTTTGTTTTTATAACGACATCCGGTTGAATTATTAAATAAACTATAATATATTCTTTTATTTGCAAAATTACACATTTATCTAAGAAATTTTTGCTTGAAAAATTATGATTTTGGTTATACCGAGTGACTCGAATAACTTTTATTTAATTTAAATAATTTGAAATATATTTAATAATCACCGATTATTACAGATATCCAAATTTTATTAGTCGTATACGAGGTTTGTTAAAAATAAAGGTACTTTACTCTTCAGCAAATTTTTTTGACAAACCTCGTAAACGGCTTAAAAATATTAATATCTGATGGTTGCATTTTAAGTTTTGGACCATGCAGAACTTTTTATCATAAATATATTTTTTCACAAAACTTAAGTGGACACTGTATATATATTTTTTTGTAATTACATTATTAAATATTTTAGGTTGCCTGATATCCCTACTAAGTGGAACATTACTTGCCTGGCCATCACCGTTTATTGTAAAAATAATTCAAGATGAAACCTATAGCATTACAGAAGCCGAAGCATCATATTTCACAGTTATCCAACCATTAGGAATGTGCGTATTTTCTCCATTTTTCGTTCCGGTTACAAACAGTATAGGAAGAAAAAGGACTACTTTAATAGCAGCGATTCCTCTAATGACCAGCTTACTTATTAAAGCTTTCGCCAAGAATGTTTGGTTGCTGTATCTTTCAAGATTTCTTGCTGGTGCAGGGGACGCTATAGTTTTTTCTTCTTTACCATCGTATATTGGAGAAATATCGACCCCAAAAGTTCGTGGTATATGGGGAAATGTTTTTATTTGCTCAGTGTTTTTTGGACAATTCGTTATGAACATAGTCGGTAGTTACTTTAGCGTACAAAATACTTCTTTTATACTATTAATTATACCAATAGCATTTCTGCTTACATTCAGTTTTATGCCAGAATCTCCATATTTTTATACAATGAAAGGCAAATATATTGAAGCAAAAGAAAGTCTACAGCGATTAAGACGTACAAAAGATGTGGATAACGAATTTGAAGATATTAAAATAGCGGTAGAAAGGCAGATGAAAGAATCGGGTACTTGGAAGGATCTCGTGACGGTGAAAGCCAATCGGAAAGCTTTGGTTGCTTTGCTTTTTTTAAGAACTTCGCAAACTTTTACTGGAATATACGTTTTTGCAGCTTACACACAATTCATTTTCGAAAAAGCTGGCGGAAATTTTAGCGCTCAAACTTCTGCTATCCTTTATACGGGACTAACTTTTCTCATGTATTCAATATCCTCTAGTTTTTCTGATAAACTAGGAAGAAGGGTAGCTTTTATTACCTCCATGTTTTTGGCCAGCATAGTTGTGTTTGCTGAAGCAACATACTTTCTAATAGATATTAAATATAAAAGCGTAGATTTGAGTGACCTACAATGGTTTCCTTTGGCCGGAATGTTGACGTTTGTTATAGTTTCTTCGTTTGGGGTTGGAATCATTCCAACATTAATGTACTCAGAACTTTTTTCGGCTAGCGTTAAAGCTCAAGGTATAAGTGCAGCAACTGTAGCTTTCTCACTAATCAGTATTCTTGTAAATAATATATTTTATTATTTTAACGCGGCTACCGGTTTGTATGGACCATTTTTCTTATTTGGATGTTCTAATGTGCTGTCTACTGCTATAGCTTATTTTTTGATACCTGAAACTAAAGGTAAGACTCTAGAAGAAATACAACAAATGTTAAAAAAATAAATGAAAAGTTAAAACAGTGTTTTATTTTTTTATAACTCTATAGAATGGTGTAGAGAGAATGAATAAATAAAGAAATAAAAAATAAAGTACGTAAAACATGCAATTATCTCTAAACCCCTCTGAGCAAATAATAACTGAAAAATCAATTTCTCATTCAACTCTACTGCTTTAAGGATATTCTCAATTTTCTCATAAATCTTTGTAAAAGAAAATGAACCCAAGGTGGATGAAATTCAATTTTGAGTTGCATTAAAAATTATTAAGTGAAAGCCACCACGGAGTTATAGATACTTTAGCCCTGGGATAGAATCTACTTAGTTATTATTATTTTTTGCTTGGAAGTTCTTTAAAGTCTTTGTTTTTAGCAGGAATTATTAAATTCTCCTCAACTAAAGCAGGAATAGAAATTTCATAAAGGGCGAGTAAATGTGCTTTCTCAGTTTATTAGATAATACTTACACATTTTTGAATTTTAAACACATTTTGAGCAGCAGTCCCCAATTTTTTTTGCTTGCTTAAAACCGGAATAAATTGTAGAAACATATTAGTAATAATTAGAGCTAGGAATATATGCAAAACGTCATATTTTGCATATGTTGCATATATATACAATTTTTGATTTTGATTTTGTTAATTTTCTGGCATATATCTGACGTACTTATTGGCTGGACATATTAAAATTATGAGTTTTGGACCAAAATAATATTTTGTGAAATGCCTTTACAGGTCGATGTCCTAAAATTTTGAAGGATTAACTTTTCCCTGTAATAAATAACGGTTAATGGTGTAGGTACTTCAGAGGATTAAATTATAAACACCCTCCTTAAACCAACAAATTTTGCTAAATATCCTTTCAGGTAGTTGTATTAATATCTTCAAATTTCTAAATGACTCAGTTTACTGTCAACTTTATTTCAGTCTTTATTGTTGTGTTCTGTTAACCAGTGGGAAAAATGGCAAAATTAATTGAGTCGTAGGTAAAATCTGATTCAGATTTTGTTGTAGAAGGTGATAAACAGGTGTTTTTTAAAACATGTTCTAAAATTGTGTGTAATTTTTTATTTTATATTTTATTTTGACCTTTCACAATGATAAATCAAACGACAGTAAAATATTATTTCAACTCACAGTTAAAAAAAAGTAGGGCAACTTTACAACGTACGCATTTATTTAATTTAATTAAAACTTCAACATCTACAGGAATTTATTTGTTTTAGATTCCATGTAAAAATAAGTTTCAAATCGACCAACACGCGAAAACGCCCTCACATATAGCAAAGCAGAAATCTAAAGACACTCGCAGACCAAGTCAACTTCCCTTGAAACAATATTTGGAATCTGGATCGTCTAGAAGTGAACAAGCTTTTTTTAATGAAGATTTATGCAAAGCTTTAGTGACTTTAAATATCCCCTTAATACGATTAAATAATCCAAATATCTGATAATTTTTGCAAAAATACTGTAAATTTAATATTCCAGAGCAATGTATGTTATGCAAACGTGGTGTTGACAGTTTGTACATTGAGACTCGTGAAAAAATTCGTGAGATTACCGTTGGAAATCATTTTTACATTATTGTGGATGAAACAACAGACTCTTGTGGTCGATATATAGCCCATTTAAAGATAGGTTCATTACCCGAAGAAATGCAAATTGGTCCATATCTAATCGCTTCAAAGCAATTAGATAAAACAAATAACCTGACAATAACTCGTTTTATCCAGACATAATTGTCTTCTTTTTTTCTTCCGGAAGCCGTTCCAACAGAAAAATGTTTATTGCTGTTATCCGATGCTGCCCCGTACATGGTAAAAGCCGCACAAAATTTAAAAATGTTTTATGAAATCTTAGTCCATGTTACATGTTTGGCTCATGGCCTTAACAGAAATTAGGTCTAACTTTCCTTTAATAAATGATTTAATTAGTAATGTAAAAAAAATATTACTTAAAGCTCCTCTAAGAACTCAATTGTACAAAGAAAAATTTCCTGAATTACAGATGCCACCGGAACCTGTGATTACTCGGTGAAGTACCTGGCTTAAAGCTGCCTTTTTTTGCGCAGATAATGATGAAAAAATTAAAAAAATCATATTTGATTTTGATGAGTCGTCTAAAGGAATATAATAATGTTTTTAAAAAATTATGCATTTGTACCCAAAATTATATTAGATTTAGAACAAAAAAATTTACCTTTGGTGACTTTAAATTTAATTAAGACGTTTGAATCAGAGTGTAAAAATGTAAAAATATTGGAAAGACGATTTTTCATAAATTTTCAAATGTAATTTTAAAAAATGGAGGATTTATTGTTTTAAGAAACCTTGCTAATATTTATTCTGGTAACTTTGAAGATATTAATACTATTCATCCAGATATTTCAGGAAAATTTAAGTTTGCACCTATTACTTCTGTAGATGTCGAAAGAAGACAATCATTTAATACAGATAATTTAGAAAAACATCTAATTGTTCATTCGTTTTATAATAATGTTGATTTGTAAATAAAATTAGTTAATAATTAAATAATTATTAAGTAATATATTAGGTATTGTAAAATAAAACAAATAATAAACTATTTCTATCAAATAACAAAGTACTCTTATTGCATATGCTCTGCATATACAGTGTGTCTACTTAAGTTGGAACCATATGGAAAACATTTTTATTATTGATTTTAGGAAAAAAAGTTATTCTTGATAAAAAGTCCTGCATGACCCAAAACTTAAAATACAGTCATCAGATACCAAATTTTTTAAGCCGTATACGAGGTTTGTCAAAAAATATGAATTTTGCTCAAGAGTAAAGTACGTCTATTTTTTTACAAAATCGAAAATTTTCGATTTTGTCAAAAATAAACGTACTTTTCTCTTGAGCAAAATTCATATTTTTTGACAAACCTCGTATACGGCTTGAAAAATTTGATATGTGATGACTGTATTATAGGTTTTGGGTCATGCAGGACTTTTTATCAAGAATAACTTTTTTTCCTAAAATCAATAATAAAAATGTTTTCCATATGGTTCCAACTTAAGTAGACACACTGTATATGCGCATATTTAATTACTTTTTAGGTGCATATATTCCTAGGTCTAGTAATAATGAATAAAGGGTATAATATTTCTTTTACTGTGTTAAAAGTCAATTAAAGAGTAATTTTTAAAAATGACTTTTAGGGAATTGGTGTAAAAATAAAAGAATTACGTTTCTAGTTGTTTGAGCAAGATATAGTAGGTTTATTAGTAAAATTAAAAAATTAATCAACTTACAAAAGTGTCTGAGATTGATTACAAGAAACATAATGTGATGTTTGTTTATTTTAAAACAACAGTTTATTTATTAATAATTTATTTAAACACTTATTTATTTTATAAACTACTATTCTAATTTATATATATATATATATATATATATATATATATATATATATATATATATATATATATATATATATATATATCTAGCTACGTGGCATTACTGGGACTCCATTCCATAAATGGCCTACCAAAACTCCACCGTATATACGCCATTATATACACCGTTATTTGTAAAGACTAATTCAACTACCATTAGTTGGATAGGTCAACGTAACGTCCACTATATACATTTGACATATGTTTTGACACTGTTTATGTTAATGCGCCTCCTCTTACTAGAGAGAATGTATTTACTGAGGCTCCAAGCACTGTTGCCACTTTTTAATAATTTATTTAGCAAAAGGAAGAAAAACTTAATTACTCAGACCATATGTTTTTATTTAAAATAATAATAACCCGTTGAAGATAAACCTTCTTAGCGAGTAGTATGCGAATTCGTCGTTTCTGCCGGCAAACCAATTGTAATAGTTCTATTCTTTTTAAGTCTTCTCAAGTTTTGTGTGTATATATTATAATGACTTTTTTGCTCAATACTAGTTTAAAATTAAAATTTTTGTTTTCATAAATGTAATAATGGTGTTTACAAAAAGACAAAAAATTAAATAATGTTGTTACAGATACCTCTCAGAAATTTTTCGCCGATTTTATTATTACATATAAGGTTTTAAAAGATCTAGCTAAACAATGACCGATATTGTTTTAACAACAATTGAAGAACATTTAAAAGAAGTAAATTATAAAATCACATCAATGAATAATATATCAGTACGCTTTAAAGAAAATAAAAATCTACATGATAAATTTGATGAACAAGAACAAAAATATAGATTGAAACATTTACGTCTACATAGATTACCAGAAGGTACTAAAAATAATTTATAAAATAAAATATCTGATGGTTTTAGGTTTTAAACAATGCAGAACTTTTTATGAAGAATAACTTTTTCTCGTTAATTTAATAATAAAAAAGTTTTTAATATACTGCGTACTTAAGTGGACTCACTGTATATTTAAAACTGGTTAAAAAATTATAGAAATCTGTTAATAGTTTCTTACTACATAATATAAATTTTTAAACGAATTCAAAAAAAAAATCCTTAAAGCTTACTGATGAGTAAACATTCTCATTATATATCCATACGGTACGACTGGGCCCACCTTGTTAATTTTTAGGCTCACTAAGACTCTGCTGTAGAGTCCATATATTATTAACAGCGGAGTCTCAGTGAACCTAAAAATTAACACGGCTGGAGGCCCAGTCGCACTTTATAAATATAGCGAGATATATAGTTTAGGTATATATATTAGGACGTATATAGTACCTTAATATATAAAGAACCACAGTTCCATTAAAAAATATTTATTTATAAAAAATTCATGAAAAAATAAAAACAAACACGTAAATAAACATGTCATATTTGCACTAAAAAAAAGCCATAAAAAGAAAACTAAAAATTCAAACTCCTATGTAGCAAATATTCAACACTTTTTTGCGTACCGATTACACACTTTTATATTCTCCCATTTCCTATATTTAAAAATCTGATGTGTCCAACACATGACTTTCCTATCTAGTTATTATAGGCTTTTCCGGTTATTTTGTACAACCTATTGCAGCACTTCTATAAATGTTTAGAGGAGGATAAACCAAATATATACATTGTCCACATATATCTACCTCGAAACATTTATCTATAGATATTCATTGAAAACGAAAATACTGAAAAATTTAAATTTAGCACTTTTCCATTACGGTCCATTTCAGAAAAATCATGTATAAACAAAAATTATAGAGATCGATATCGCAAACAACTTTTAGTTCAACAATTTTCATAAAGATCAGAATTTTGCACATTTTGTCAAATTTCTCGAATACGGACCATTTCAGGAAAATTTGACATATAACAAAAATTATAGATAATAATATTAGAAGTAACTTTTATTTGAACAATTTTCTCCTCCAAACATAAATAACAGATATATTCCATAAAATATAAAAACGGCCTCCCATAATGTATCCCCCCAGATGATTCGACTTTGTCCAAAATCTAATCATTTCACGTCAGGCCCAAATAAACCTTAAGTTTAAAATTTTATGTTTTTTTCTTTATCAGTTTTTGAGTTTTCTTCAAAATTCGAAATTTACATATTTTCTCAAATATCTCGAATACGGTCCATTTTAGAGAAATTATGTATAGAATAAAAATTATAGAGAATTATATTACAAACAACTTTTATTTAAACAATTTTTATAAAAAATTATTTTTTTTACATTTTGTCAAATTTCTCGAATACGGACCATTTTAGGAAAATTTTGCATAGAACAAAAATTATAGATAATTATTTGAAGAATTTTCTTCTCCAAACGTAAATAACAGAAATATTCCATAAAATATAAAAATGACCACCTATAAAGTATCCCCCCAGATGTTCCGACTCTGCCCAAAATCTAATCAGCTCATTGGACGCTAAAACAAAGCTTAAGTTTAAAATTTGGTGTTTTTCGTTGTATCGGTTCATGAGTTACACAGACACACAGACAGACACACACGCACACGCACACGCACACGCACACGCACACACACACACACACACACACACACACACAGACATCATCGCAAAAATAGTCAAAACGGATTCAGGGGACCTCAAAACGTAAAAATCCGTCGAAAACTCGAGGTCAAAAAAAATCATGATTCCTCTACTTTCCTTATATCTGTATACAGATAGGAAAGTAAAAATGAATCATTTTAGGTTAACTGAGACTCTGTTGTAGAATCCGTATATAATTGATAGCGGAGTCTCAATAAACCTGAAAACTAGCAAGGCTGGAGGCCCAGTCACACTCTATAGATATAGCGCTAGATATAGTGTATATTAGGAACATATCTTATAGTACCTTAATATACAAAGAACCACAGTTTCATTAAAAAATATTTATTTATTTTTGTGTACCTATTACAAACTTGTATACTGCCCCATTTAGTATCTTTAAACCTGAATATATATTTTTTTTTATTTGAAATTTTGGGAAACTAAACCAAGGAATGTACGTATAATTATATTAGGCGACGTAATCATTAAAAATGGCAGACGGGAGCCGTTATGGCAAGTGATATATTATTTGAAACCCTTTCCAATGATATCAATATAACTAAATTATTTTTTCTTTTTTCTCATAATGAATTCTTTGTTTTAAATGTTCAATGCTATCAACTGGTGTACCACAAATATTTAACCTTTGGCACTGTATTATTCTCGTTTAAAATCAAAGATTTTTATGAATTCATATCTCATGACGGATCAAAAAATAAATAGGAGGTGGAGGGACTTTAGATCCGCATTGTATAATCGAGAGCAGAGGCTATGTGAACCTGAAAATTAACACAGCTGGAGGCCTAGTCGTACCGTATACATCTTCAAAAATCTAAACGCGGACTATATAAGCGAAATCCATTAGGGACGAACTTAAGTTGGAGTGAGGTGGAAGTCGTACATACCGTGAGTCAGGCCATTGAATAGGTAGTGCGCTGCACAGCTCATATCGCAATGAGTCTCAAGGATGTAAGCATACTTATATTTATTTAAATCTCTATATTCCACACGAAAAGTTCGAAATGGTATATTTTAATTTTGGATGCATGAAAATGAATAATCCACAATACGACACTTCAGTGGAAAGTCAATTTTAATGATTTATAGGACAACGTAACAAAACTTAATTCGAAGGAACATGAACTTAAATAGATTGTTGCCATTAAGGTTAAGAATAAATAAATGTAATGAAAATCCCAATAAACCAAATTAACAAAATTATGCTGCGCATTAAATTACTATTATAATAAGCTTTCAAATGAGCTGTCACACTTAACAATACGTACCACTTTTTTATCATGCTAAAGGGCGCTAAAATCAAAAGTAACACTATAAACAGTCACATTTCTAAAAATTATTCATTAAATTACATTTGCGTTGATGTGTAATACTTAGTACGTTTTCTATTTAAATTGTATTGGTTAGTAGTGGGAAGGAGGAGAGGGGAATGTTGTGTGTCAGTTTAGGATGTGATAAAAATGTGCCAGCCTTAGAATAAAAATCGACCTAATTTAAACAATTCTTTGTATTAATTTGAAGCAAGTGGTGATACAATTGAAATCAGCATAATAAAAGG